GTTTACCACCTGCCTTTTCTTCCGATTTCCACCCTACCCCTAAGTTTTGTGCTGTCCACGATTTGGTTAGCAACTCCATTCAAACTACTCTTGTAAATATTGAACAGAGCCATGGAAAACATCCCAGACACCTCCCTCCTGGTGACCTGAGTCCATTTGTTAGTATTTTTTCAAGTTGATGTTTTCAAGCTGATTGTTCTATTACTGTGAGTCTCTTACTTTACTACCTGACTTGAAGCTTTCATTTCATTAGCAATATTCCTTTCAACCAAGCATGGTAGATGATCCCTGCCCGAAAGAGGGGGCATTAAGAGGTGATGAGAATGCTGAAAGTTGTAAGTGCCAAGCATCTGCAGGCTGGAAGGGCATCTGTGTGATCTTGAAAGTCTTTTCATGAATTCTCATTCCTCTGACATAAAAGGGATCTGGAACTGCGTGTGGTGGCGCATGCTTGTAATCCCCAAACTGGGGAAGCTGAGGCAGGAGAATCACCTTGAGTTCAAGGCCAGCCAGGACTATATACAAAGACGCTATCTCAAATACAGACATTGTATTTGATTGTTCGAACTTACAACCCATCTTTTTTTTTTTTTTGTACAGTTCTGTAGCTCTTGTTTATGGAGCCTCAATGTGTTTTTTCTTACAGTGTACCTTCTTTATACAGTACTGTCATTTTGCTGATTGTACAGTACAGTACTGTAGTTTTATGTTCTTACAGCTGCATGTAAGTGTGCAAATAAAAGCAAAATCATCAGTTGGAGTTTCCTTTGACCATGTCTTTGTTCTGAGTATTGTAATGTACTTAGTGTATACAATTCCTCATTTAGTGACCTAGTTTCAGGACCAACTCTGGTCATTAAACAAGAAGTACCTGTGAATGAATGAAAAAATAAATAAGTAAGAATCTGGAGGTGTCTTTTGTATCTTTACATCATTTTGAAGTAATTGTGAGGTTTTGTTTCCCTCTCTACCCAAAATACCTTCCAGCTATAAACAAAAGGCAAATATGATTAAATACAAAGTAGCTCTTACTGATAGTATCTAATATCATCATCTCAAATGTTTTAACTTGTGGAGAGACAAGTGGGATGTTGCAAATTCTTACTTTCTATTCAGCAAAGCTGGGATTATTCCTCAGTAAATGTTTGCCGAATAATCAAGTGAGTTGGCTTCAGTGTAATCTTCAATTTCAGCTCTGTATTTGCAGATTCAGGGAAAGAGGAGGCAGTGGCTTTTGTTTTTCCTCCCCACCTAGCCAAATCCAAGTCTTCTTCAGAGCCATCTAGAGTTCTACTGCTTTTAGCAAATCTTTCCTGGTAGTTTCTGCTCACACTGTTACATCTCTCCATTGAACACCCCTGCCAGTACTTGGTGCTTTTCAGGATTGTGTTATTCATGTGTTTATGGCATATCCCCCAAGTCCTGGAAGATACATCCGCCCCTTCATGTTTTCTGAAACAGACAGGAGTGTTCGAATAAATCAGCTGAACCAAATGTGTCTACATAAGCATTGCCACCAGATGGCGTCAGAGTCCCATTGTTGCTAGGTTAGCCATTTAAAAATGCCATCCTTAAAAAAGTTTAAATTTCTTTTGCTAAGCAAAAAAACATTATAGGGCTGGAGATTTAGTTCAGTGGTTCCACTGCCTGCTTCACAAGCACAAGGTCCTAAGTTCGATCCCTGGTACAAAAAATAAATAAATAAAAGAAAAGATATAAACCAGACAAAGTTGTATATAGCTTATTATTTTTTCATGTGGTAAACTATTCACACAGCCTCCCCTTGCCCTGCCTTTCTAGGCCCTGTGTGAAATCTGGCCCATGAGACTTCCTAATAGAAAGTGACTAAATACCTGGAAGTGGCCTCAAATCCTTAGTTTATATTTTTAGATAATTTTTTTGTTTGGAAGAAACAAACATCATAAAGTACTATATGTATTGGGGGGGTGGATTGAGACAGGATCTCACTATGTAGTTGAGACTGACCTGGAACTCACTTTGTAGCCTAGGCTGTTCTTGAACTCAAAGCGATCCTCCTGCCTCAGCCTCCCAAGTGCTGGGATTGCAGGCGTGCACCACCATGCCCGTCATAAAGTACTAAAACTTTCTCCCCTTTTTTTTTGGAGACAGGGTCTTGCTGTGCAGTTCAGGCTACCTTGAACTTACTATGTAGCCCATTCACCATAGCCTCAAAATTACTTAGGAATTATCCTAACAGAGGAAGTGAAAGACCTCTGTAATGAAAACTGTGATCCCCAAAAAAGCAGATGGAAGAGGATATAGAAAATAGAAAGATTTCCCATTTCTGGATAGGCAGAGCCAATATTTTAAAAATGGCCATTTTCCCCAAACTGGCATATGGATTCAATGTAGTCCCAATCAAACTACCAAGAGCATTCCTCACAGAACTAGAAAAAAACTAGCCTAAAATTTCTATGGAATCAGAAGAGACCCAGAATAGACTTAGTAATCCTGGGCAATAGAAACATAGTAGGATGCATCACAATCCTAGATTTCAAGTTGTATCACAAAACTACAGTGATAAAAACATTGTGGTAGTGACACAGACATTAATGGGACAGAACAGAAGATGCAGAAACAACCTCGGGCTTATTAAATAATCTGATTTTTTACAGAAGGGCCAAAAGCATAGCTGGATGAAAGCTACCCTCCTTAACAAATGGCACTGGGAAAACTGATTACATACATGCACATTGAATCTAGATTCATATCTAGCACCATGCACCCAAATCGAATTAAAATGGATCAAAGACCTAGATATTAAACCATCTCGTGGAATATAAAATAGATAAAACTCTTGAAGACATAGACTTTCTGAACAGAATCTCTGTTGCACAAGAAATAACATCAAGAATCAACAAATTAAAAAGCGGCTGCACATCAAAGGAAATAACCAACAATGTGAAGAAGCAATATATAGAACGGGGAAGAAATTTGCCAACCACTGCTCTAACCGAGAACTAATATCTAGAATACATAAAGAAAATCTAGAATGCTTTAAAAAATCAGATTTCCCAAAATAAAAGACCCAGTCAAGTAAGGGACAACTGAAAGGAATAGGTGCTTCTCAGAAATAGTACAGATGGCAAATAAATACATGGAAAAATGTTCACCATCTCTAGTCACCAAAGAAAAGCAAGTAAAACAACGGTAATCTTCCATCTTACTCCAGAAAATAAGAAATCAACAACAAATGCTGGTGAGGCTACTGGGAGAAAGGCACCTTTCTACATTGTTGTTGGGAATGTAAACTAGTATAACCACTTAGAAGTCAACATGGAAGATCCCTAAAAAAATTAAAACTAAAAATTCCGTGCGATCTAGTTGTTCCTCGTCCAAGTATATTCCTGAAAGAGTTAAAGGGATCGTATTACAGTGATACATGCACACCCATGTTATAGCAGCACAACTCATAATAGCTAAGTCTCAGAAGTGGCCTATATATCCATCAGCAGATAAATGGATAAAGAAAACATGGCATTTACACACAGTAGAGTACTTTTCTGCTCTGAAGAAGGATAAATTTGAGTCATTTGTAGGAAAATGCATACACTGTGAGACTACAATGTGAAAATAAATCAAGATAAGCTTAAATATTAACTTCTTTTGTATGTAAATTAAGACTTTTTTATTAATAGATGTTTGCAGCATATAAGTTTACATTCCTTGTGTGGAGTTGGCGCATGTACATAGTGGCTATTGAATATTTGAAATGTGCTATATAAATGTGAAAAGCATCAACTTTCAAAGTACAAAAAACAAAAATATTTCATTAATAATTCTAATATTTTGGGCTTGGGAGTGTAGCTCAGTAGTACAACACATACTTAGCTTGCCCGGAGTCATGGGTCCACTCCCCAAGATCAAAAACAAAAACAATTTTAAAAAACCATGAGCCAGGTGTGGTGGTGCATGCCTGTAACCCCAGCGTGTGGAGCCTCAGGTGGGAGGATTGCTGCATGAGCCAGACCAGGCTGGATTCCACAGTGAGACCCTGTCTCAACAAGAGACAAAAACAAAAGATAAAAAAAAAATGTGTATGTGTTAAAGTGAGGATATTTGAGATATATTGTGTTAAAATATATTAAAATTATTACCATCTGGCCGGGGATTTAGCTCAGTGGTTCTTGCTGCCAGCCTTGCAAGCGCAAGGACGTGAGTTCAATACCCGGTACCAAAAAAAAAAATTATTACCATCTGTTTCTTTATACTTTTCAAAATTTAGCTGCTAGAAAGTTTTAAATTACACATGTGACTTGCAGTTTATTTCACTTGGACAGCACTGGTATACAGGGGCAAATATTCTTTTCATTTTCTCTACTATGGAATGTCAGGATTCTAGCTACTGTTGTTCTTTCTGTAGTTCTTTATATTGTTTTATTGTTTTGGTTTTTTGAGGCAGGGTCTCACTGTATAGCCCAGGCTGGCCTTGAACTCCTGGTGCTCCTCCTTCCTCAGCCTCCCTAGTGCTGGGATTACAGGGGTGCGCCACCATAGCCAGCATTCAGCCTCATTCTGGATGAGTGCTTTAATAGTGATAGAAAATAAAATGCTGTTGGAGCACTAGGAAGTCATGACTGAATCTGACTGTAAAGGAGACTGAGGTTGTGTGTGTCTTGGATATGATTCTGTCAGGTAGAAAGGGAGGTGAGGGCAATATTTCCCCTCCGGACAAGTCGACCTAAGGCACGGGTATCGTAAGAGGTGGTCCTGCTGCTCCTCCCTCCTGGGCTGGTCAGGGAGACCATCATGTTGTTGAAGTTAGCCAGACAAGAGATAACAAGCTCGAATGGAAAGCAAATAATATGCCCAAGAGACAGTTGAAGGAGTTTCTAACTTTGGTCACTAGTGGAATTATCTTTATTCAAAACTGGAAATATAGAAGATCGGGCGGAAATGGAGGCAAGGAAGATTCTGGACCTGTGGGTAGAGTGCAGAGGGACCTGGCAAGAGCTGAAGTGCCTGTGTTTGTGTTTCAGATGGTGACCCTCTTTCAGATGTGGGTTGTTCCCCTCTATTTCACAGTGAAGCTGCACTGGTGGAGATTCCTAGTGATCTGGATCTTCTTCTCTGCTGTCACCGCCTTTGTCACTTTCCGAGCCACACGAAAACCTCTAGTACAGACAACCCCAAGGTAAGTTTCATTAGTGGGGAAGAGGCCACTTACTTGAAGCTGACGTGTAGGAATGTATGAGAGGAAGGTGGGTTTAGATGGGAAAAAATTGCAGTTTTTGTCTTCCAACATTATTTGTTGTGGTCCCCTCTAAAACAAGCTGATTGGGAGACCAGATTCCCTTTTCACAGGCTGAAAACCCCAAATATTTCCCTACAGCTCACTTAATGAATGGTTTGCATCAAAGTCTGTCTATATTAAAAACAAGCAATGTAAATAAGTAAATCCTGATGATCATGATAGTCTCATTTTAAGTGTTTTCTTTTGTGAATCTTTCTCTGATCTTTAATAGATTTTCTGTTATATTCTTTTATAAGGCTCTGTAGTTTTCCTTCATAGAACTTATTACAATTTATGACGAAATATTATTTTGAGTATCTGTCCCCCCCAATAACCTTAACTTTGAGCAGGGGATTTAGCGCCTGCCTCATTAAGCCCACAGTCCTGAATTCGATCCCCAGTACAGAAAACAAAACAAAACTTAACTTTGAGGCCAGGAACCACATCCATTTTATTTGTCGCTCTATTTTCAGGCCTTGCCACAGGATTTGACACATATTCTCTGAATTTTTGTTGAATTAATGAATCTTAGAAAATTTACAGTTTTCCAATACGTAATGCTTCTTCCTTGGGTTACAGAAGAACTTCTGCCTATGCAATTCTTTGTATTTTATCCAAATGTATTTCTTTTTAATTGTCCCAACTAGCTTGTGAGGTCATTGAAGTCGTGTTTGTCGGGGGAAAAAAGGGGAGATTTTCTCATTCATTCATTCATTCATTACCTGCTATGTGCCAGGCCTGTGTTGAGTGCTGGGGACCAAGAGCTGGGTAAGATGATAAGGTCCCTGCCCGCAAGGATTGTTTGGTTTAATGGAGAAGATAGACAAGGAAGCACCCAGTGCAGTGCAGTTGACAAGTGTGAGAAGAGTGCACAGGACCAGGTGTGCCTAGCACAGGAGCCGTCCAGCCTCAGCTGGGGCCACCTGATCCAAAGTCTTCCACGTTGCAAATCACTCTTCTTCCTGTGCTGCTTATGTTTCACCATACTGCAAGCCTTTCTCTGGCCTCTTGAGTGTTATCACACAAGCTGAAGCTGGTGATCCAGAAGTCTGGCCCTTCTCTAGGCCCATCATAGAAGATTCAGGCTCTGCAGCCACATGGATGTGGTTGAAACTCCTACCCTATTTCTTTCTTTTTTTTTTGTTTTTTTTTTTGTTTTTTTTTGGTTTTTTGAGACAGGGTCTCACTATGTAGTTGAGGCTGACCTGGAACTCACTCTATAGTCCAGGCTGGTCTCAAACTCACCATGATCCTCCTGCCTCAGCCTCCCAAGTTCTGGGATTACAGGCAAGCGCCACCACGCCCAGTGCTACCCTATTTCTTATTATCTCTGTAATAGCACTTTTCAGAGCCTTGAGTAATATATCCCTCAAAATGGGATAATCGCTTACTTCATCTATTGTTATAAGAAAAATAAAACACATTAGGAGTCACCAAGTATGGAACAGTATCAGTTCCTAAGTAAAATGATTAAAAAATATCAATAATGTGAAAGGTTTAAAAAATAATACCTAAAAATTGTTAGTACTGTAGTTTCAAAGCACTTTCAGGGCCAGGGATTTAGCTCAGTGGTTCTGGCATCTGCCTCACAAGCGCAAGGACCTGAGTTTGATCCCTGGTACCAAAAAAAAAAAAAAAAGCACTTTCATAAGCATCCTCATTTGTTCATGTATTATTTAATGAATATGTACCGGGTAAAAGGCAGCATGGTTTTCCCCTGTTTTACAAGGAAGTAAACTTGTCTCAGAACTCTTGACTTTCCTGAATTTACTCAGCAAATAAAACCTCACTTAATCTAGATGAAGGGTTGACCCAAAATTCCGTGTTCTTTCCATTCTGTCTCTCTTCCTCACAGTCTGTGCAAACTCTGGATAATGGAGCCACGTGGTCTTTCAGGGCAACACTACAAGCCCAAGAAGCCATCACTACTTGCTTAGCCACAGCAGGGAGGTGGAAGAACCTTGGCTTCCTTCCTGGGACCTGTGTGGGTTGGCAGAACCTAGTCTCCTTTCAGGACTTGTGCTGTTTCTTCTAGCAAATTGCTAAATTGCTCATTAGCTTAGCCCTCATTGCAGATAGACTAACAGCTTCTATTATCAGGGACCCACCCCATTTACACAGCTCTAGTTCATTTAGCAAACCAAGTTTTCTACTTGAATGTAGTTGGAGTCAACCACCCAGATTCCACACTGCTCTTCACTGGGTCTAGGTGAACACTGCTTATTCTTGAGGAGCATGAATAACCCCATTTTACCTCTCTACCACCACCACCGTGACACAGATACATCTAATTCAGGAGTACCTTTTGAGTGCCTTCCTCCTTATGTCTCTTACAGAGAGAACAGCCATTTCAGAAGCAAATTCATGAGATCGTGATTGACCTGTGGGTAGGAGCTGTAGTCATACTACACAGAAACCTGTTCCATCCCTCATTATCTTCCCTTGAATTCTTTTTCCTGACAAGAACAACTACCCTTCCCCATTTGTTCTTTTCTGAGGGTTATTAGTTTTTACTTCCTCAACCAACTAACCTGAATTGAGGACACAGCTGTCTGATGTCAGCAGTGCCCTTTGTTTTGACGCTGAAACTTCTTTTTAGGGATCTCTTTTTTTTTCTCTTTGTCCAAGACCATGAAAATACAAAGCACGAATTCCCTAAAGATGTTTCTGCAATTAGAGAAACAAACAATGTTGGATAGTTGCTGAAATGGCTTAGTAAGTCCTGAGCATAGAGCCTGATGTTCTCATTGGTGTAAGAACAAGGAATTCTGGTAGTCCAGCAGCCCCTGAGGCCAGATCTCTCTGTGAGCTAACTAACGTTATCTCCTTTCTCCAGGTTGGTTTATAAATGGTTCCTGCTAATATATAAAATCAGCTATGCTACTGGCATCGTTGGCTACATGGCTGTCATGTTTACCCTCTTTGGTCTTAACTTACTATTCAAGTGAGTATCTTTACTTTTGGGTTTGGGGCATTTGGGGAAGAAGCCTGTTAAAGATGTATCTCTTTCTTCCTCTCACAAGTACTGGGTATTAACCGAGGGGATATGACAGGAGAGAAAGCTTGGGCACTGTGAGGATGGAAGATGACAGGCTCTCCTTGGTTTGTGGTGGCAGAAAGCAAGGAATGTGTTGGGTGTGGTGACACACACTTGTAATCCCAGCATCTGGGAGGCTGAGGCAGAAGAATCACGAGGCCAGCCCAAGCTGCATATTCAGACCCTGTCTTTAAAAACATTAAAGAAGAAAAAGAGAAAGGAATATTTGTATATTTACAAAGTCTGAGTTCCAAATGCTTGGTTATATTTTCCAATAATTTACATTTCAGTGGTAAAGTATAACCAAAATAAGCATCACAATTATTATAATCAGTTATCCATATTTCCATTATTGTAGCAATAATTTTTCTTGTCCATGTGCACTATTTATTGCAATATCCACTTTGCCTCAAGAGGCCTTCTATTCAAGTAGTCCACGAACTGGCAAACCACACCCTTTGAGCCACATACATTTTTTTGTTTTTTTGGTACCAGGGATCAAACTCAGTCCTTGCACTTTCAAGGTGGAACCATTAAGCTAAATTCCTGGCCATTGGCCACATAAACTTTTAATAGAATACAGTCATATTCATGTACACATTGTCTGTGGCTATTATATTCAACTGCAGAGGTGCCTACTTTTAGCAAAGACCATATTGGGTCTCAAAACCTAAAATATTTTCTGTCTCACCTTTTACAGAAAAGGTTTGCTGACCCTTGGGATAGATTGTCAAATCCATGTGATTGTAGTTGGCCATACCTGAGCACAGATCCACTTAGAAGGATTAGGGCAGGAAACACAGCAGGGCAGTGTCTTCAGGAGACTTCACAGTAGTCTGGGAGCTGACACATCCCACGCTGATGGATATGAGAGCCACCCTGGTCCTCCCTCTACCCTCCCAGAAAACATCAATTTCAAGATTGTTCCACATCAGGTGCAGTGTACCAATCACAGGCTGTGTTTAGTATATAGCTGACATTCCACCATTATCAGGTTTCTGAGGAAACAGTTTTAGGGAGTTATTGGCTGAGCTTAGGTTGTTTTCAGTGTAGATACCACATCTGTGTTGCTTCCCAGGGAACTTCCCTAGGAATGAGGTTCTGGTTGTTGCTTCATGTTGTCATAAGCCTTCTGAAAGATCTGTGTCAGTTTGCAGGTCCTCTCACCTTCAATTGAGGCAGAAGCCAGGGAACTCTGAGTTTAAAGACTGGAGGGTACAGTGAGTCAGTAGGTCAGAAGAGGTTGGAAATGTTCATTTCTAGGTGAAGCAATGGTGGCTGTGGACTTGTCAGTCTTGAGTCTAGGACAGTGTGTTGAAGCCAGAGATATTTAGGATTCAAAATGAACTTTGTGGATGGGAAAGCAACTAACACGTTCTCCAAATCTGCTATCCTGTAGACAGTAGTATTTTTGAAATCAAAGGAGTTTATTTTAGGACAAGTTAAAATAATTATTATCTTATATAGTGAGTGGAAGACTCATGAAACCCTTTCTTCCAGTGGTAATACAAGCTGAAAGAATAAACGTGTTTCACAGTCAGATGTGATAGTACACGCCTGTAATCCCAGCACTCTGGGAAGCTGAGGCAGGAAGATTTATACAAGTTCAAGACTAGCCTGGACAATTTAGCAAGACCCTGTCTCAAAATAAAAAGTGAAAAGGGCTGGAAATGCAGCTCATTAAAAAGGTCCACAGTACTACAGAAACACAAACACAAACAAATAAAAAAACAGGCTCCACATAGGTTTAGAGGAAGTCATCACTGTAGAGTTTAACACACTGAAAGAAAAAGAAGTTTCCTCTGCCTGTCTCGCAAGTGCAAGGTCCCAAGTTCAATCCCTGGCACCAAAAAATAAAAAAAGGTGTTTCTAGTTATCTTCCTAACCTATGTGGTTAAAAAATAAAAAGATTCTGCATTTTGATTTAAAGACATTTCTTTTATAACTATAGTTTAGTCTTGCTTACCTAAACTGTTCAAAGAGGAAAACAGAATTGGTAATCTTGACTATTTCTCTTCTATTTTATGTTAATTGCTGTAAGATCAGTGATGTCAGTGAAACTAGGAATGGTGGCACATGACTGTAATCCCTCCACTCTTGGGAGGCTGAGGCAGGAGGATCAAAAGGCCAAGCCCAGCAAAGTAGCAACTTGGAAAGACCCTATCTGAAAAAACAAAAAAATAGGGGACTGGGATGTAGCTCAGTACAAAGCTCTGAGTTCAGTCCCTGGTATCAGACATATGCACACACACAACACACAAGTCAGTGGGTTAAATAAGACCAGTGAGCAAATTCAACTATTATGATGAATATAATTTATAGTGTTAAGCGAAGGCATACAGGTCTCTGTACAAGTATTTTAATTAAAGTAATTTTCCATAATATTTATGGACTTGAGGTTAAAATTTTTGGTCCTTGGAATTACTAAAACAAACCTCCTAATATCACAGAGAAGATTTTTATTCTTTTTAATAAATATACTTGGACCAGAATTTAATTTTGATGACATTATACAGAATATGTATAGATGCAAGTTAAATTTTTATGATAATCAGTTTGTAAATATTTAGTTTTATCCTTCTTTTCTAGACCTATGTTTGGCAGCCTTTTTCTGTAAGTGTCCAAATGGTAAATATTTTAAGTTCTGTAGGACAGTAGGCAGAACTGAGAGTATTGTGTAGGTGCCTGCGTGTCAAGATAGACACTCCTGCCTTGCTCTGCCCTGTTTGTCTGGGGCCAGGGAGCATCTCAGGCAAGGAGAATACTTCATGCCTGGTGCCCATCAGTTGAAACATTCTCACAAGGCAGGGTCCAGCAAAGGATATTTGGCCACTAGGATCATTTTCAGTTGTTGCTCTAGGGACACCCAGACCCTGGTGTGCTCTCCCTCCTTTAGAAGGTTCAGCCATTTCAACTTGGGCAGCTGGCATGAGGTGAGGAAAGAGGACACTAAGTGATTTGTTACTTTCTGGACTGAAATCCCACTTCTTTCTTGGCTAGCAGTTGCCAATAGCAAATTCCTAGCACATAGGTTACAATGAACTGAGGCCCTGGGCAGCTGCAAGATGTGGCCACCAGTCATGGGTGGCTGAACCCAGGAGCAGAATGGAATAAAGGACAGAAGGGATGACATTCCAGCTGCAGCTCACAGTGCTAGCTTCCTCCAGAGGTATCTGTGGGCCACATTAAATTAGACAGCAGACTGGATTTGGTTGTGATTTGTGAGCGCTCACTCTAACCCCTGAGTCTGTCCACGTTAGGCTCTGCCTGTGTGTCCTAAAGTAGTATTCCCACAGTGTCTCAGGGCAGGTCTTACTGGCCTTGCTGCTTCCCTTACAGGATTAAACCAGAAGATGCCATGGACTTTGGTATTTCTCTCCTCTTCTATGGCCTCTATTATGGAGTTCTTGAGCGAGACTTTGCAGAAATGTGTGCAGACTACATGGCGTCTACAATAGGGGTGAGTTGACTTGGGCTCTCAATACTCCCTCCTGCCACCTCTGGATTGTACAGGCTGGCATCACTTGATGGAAGAGCAAGGCACTACGATGAGATAAACCATATAAAATCTTTTAAGATGTGAGTGGTATGCATGACGATTCCTTCCTTAAAATTCTGAAAGCCAGGTCTCTGATGCAGCCTGGAATTTTTAACTTCAGGGCCATTATAGGAAATAACTTTACCCAGCAGGAAGTTGACATTCATTCCACAGTTTTTGTGTGGATGTGGTGCTGGAAACAAATACTTTTTAAATGCCAATTTTGTGGCTGAGCACTGTGCAGTGTGCTGGAATTACAGTATAAAATAGCTGTAGTCCTTGCCCAAGTGGAGTTTATTTTCTAGTGAGAGATGACTATTAAAGCAACACATGGAACAATGAACACAGTGATAACTTTACTAAGTATTATGAAGAAAAGATTTGTGATGCTATGAACTAATACAACAAAGACATACTCAACCTTCTCTTGGGGCTCAAAGGATAGATTCCTTGAAGAAATGACTATTGATTTGACTCAGAATGAGTAGGAGCTAAGTGGATGAAGTGAAGAGTGTACCGCTTAGAGATAATAGCATGCCTACAAGTCCTATCAGGGGGGAAACATCATGTGGAGGAACTAAGGCTAGTGTGGTTGTATAGCTGAGAATGTGGTAGGAATGTCTGGAGAAAAAAGGCTAGGCAAGGAAAAAGCCTTCTAGGTCAAATAAAGTTTTTTGTTTTTTGTTTTTTTGTAGCACAGCATTTATCAGTCCATTTTAGGAACACATAATGATAACACTTATCATAGGGAGGTTACACCTGTACATTCCGCCCCTTTTTTCCCATCCCCCTCCCCTCAAGAGAAAGCTTGGTTTCCATTTTTTCCTTCTATTTTCACTTTTTTTTTCTTGTCCCTTCCTCCTCCCGTATTCCCTATATTGGTTCTTCGTATCCAAGAGCAAGCAATATCTTTCCATTTTCTGATATCCTCTATGATCTCCTTTTTCACAGTACTGTAGTTATCATTGTAAAAGTCTTTTACTTCCTTCTTTAGATTGATTCCTACATATTTCATTTTTTTGGATGGTATTGTGAAAGGGGTTGTTTCTCTAATTTCTCTCTCAGTGACTTTATTATTCACATACAGGAAGGCTGTTGATTTTTTATTGTTGACTTTGTATCCAGCTACACCACTGAATTTGATTATCATATCTAGAAGTCTTTTAGGGGAGTTTTGGGATCATCTGTAGAGTATCATGTCATCCGCCAATAATGATAATTTAACTTCTTCCTTTCCTACCCTTATTCCTTTTATTTCTCTCTTTTGTTGCTCCGGCTAATGTTTCCAGAAGTATATTATTCTTTTTTTTTTTTCTTTTTTGCACAATCGGGGATCAAACTCAGGACCTTATCCTTGTCAGGCAGGCACAGTGCCACTGAGCAACACCCCGACCCTCCAGAACTATATATTGAACAAGAATGGTGGCAGTAGACATCCTTGTCTTGTTCCTGATTTTAGAGTAAAAGCTGTCAGTTTTTGTCCATTTTGTATGATGTTGGCTGTTGGTTTGTCATAGATGGCTTTTATCAGATTAAGATAAAGACCATCTATACCAATTTTCTGTAGGGTTTTTATCAGAATGGGGTGTTGGACCTTGTCAAATACTTTTACTGCATCAATTGAGAGGATCATACAGTTTTTGTCCTTGGCTCTGTTGATATAGTGTATTACATTTATTGATTTGCATATGTTGAAACATCCCTGCATCCCTGGGATGTATCCAACTTGGTCATGGAGTATTACCTTGATGATTTGCTGCATTCTGTTCTTAGTGTCTTATTGAGGATTTTTGCATCTATGATTATTACGAAGATTGTCCCTCTTTTTTTGGTTGGATCTTTCTGTGGTTTTGGAATCAGGGTAACGCTTGCTTCCAGGAATGAATTGGGGAGGAGTGCTTCCTTTCAATTTCATTAAAGAGTTTGAGAAGCTGATAGCAGTAGTAGGTCTTCTCTAAATTTCTTGTAGAATTCAGCAGTGAATCCATTAGGGCCTGGGCTTCTTTGTTGGTAGGTTTGTTTTTGTTTTTTGTTTGGTACTGGGGATTGAACTCGGGACCTTGCGCTTGTGAGGCAGGCAGCTGAACCACTAAAGCTAAATCCCTGGCCCATTGGTAGGTATTTAATTACATCTTCAGTTTTGTTGAATGATATTGGTTTATTTAGAATTTTTATATCTTCTTGATTCAGCTTTAGTAATTCATATGTATCTAGGAATCTGTCCATTTCTTCTGCATTTTCCATCTTATTAGAATACAAGTTCTTGAAGTAGGTATTGATGATCTTCCCATTGCATTTTATGAATGACCCACTAGTGATACTGAACATTTTGTCATATATTTATTTGTTGTTTCTACTTTATCTGAGAAGTGTCTATTCATTTCAGACTCCCATTTTTTGGATTGGTTCTTTAAATTTGGGGGGGTCTGATTTTTTTGAGTACTTTATATATTCTAGATAGTAGTCCTTTGTCTGAGGAATTCAGCTGCCAATTTAAACCTCAGGTAGATCACTGATAATCAATCTGCAGAATCCTCATCTTTTCAGTCACATCGGCTCTAAGCTCAAGAATTTCCACAAGTTAGTTTCTCCTTTGGGAGATGGAATAATTACATTAGGCTCCCCAAAATGAGATTTGAGCTAGGACCTCTTGCCATGCTTTTTTGCGGGGAAGGAGGTACTGGTGATTAAACCCAGGGTCTTCATGCAGAGCTACATTCCCAGACCTTTTAAAATTTTTGTATAAAGAGCGCCAGGGATTTAGCTCAGTGGCATTGTGCCTGCCTCGCAAACATAAGGTCCTGAGTTCAATCTCCGATTCCAGGGTTAGGGGGAAAATTTGGATAAAAAAGAGCCCAGGCTGGGCTGAAAGTCATGATCCTATTCCCACACCTCCCTGAGATCTGGGATTATAGGAGTGGACCACTATGCTCAGTTTTCAATGCTCTTAGAATTATTAGATGCTTAGTGATTAAAAGTAATAATCCCTAGCACTCCTAAGTGATAATTCCCTAATATTGATAAATTTCAGCCCCACCGAAAGACCTGGTAGAATTTCTTGTTGGGGTGTAGGGCACTTCAGACCTTACCTGATGATCCCTTTTTTTCTCCTCTTTACAGAATCTCACTGGTCTCCCTAGCAGTCCAGTCTCTCCATACTAATTCATTAATGTTCTGGCCCAAGGATAAAATAATCTGTTACGTTGCCTTTATTGAAGGGTTCAGGATAACTGCAGAAAAACAAACTTATCAGGCTAAGATGAAGTTAGTAGGCCTTACCAGACGGCCCACTTTCCATCCTTCCACACCCAGTCTTTCAGCTACCTCTTAGTAGCCATCACCTACAATCTATATCTATATATCTACTCCCAGATGTCTCCCTGGGGCCTGTGTTCCTGACAGATAAGCTCCCTCCCTATACTCAGGCCAGCCTTCCGAGTCCTGGTATCTTAACTGAGCACCAACCTCTTTGGTCATCAGTTACATTGAAAAGGGTAATTCCTTTTTTTTTTTTTTTTTTTTTATGGTACGGGGATCGAACTCAGGACCTTGTGCTTACAAGGCAGACACAGTGCCACTGAGCTAAATTCCCCAGCCCCTCATGTGATTCCTTTTAGAGGAGCCACTCGTTTATCCAAAGGGTTACAGCTTTCTGACCCTAACTAAACAAGAGGTGTGCTGTTTCACCAGGTGTATAATGAACGAGTGGATAGTGTCCTAAGAAGACTAGGATGGCTTGTGTTAGTACTGAGTGACTCACCAGGAGTTAATTCACATTCATTGTTTACTACAGCAAATATCTGTGGCTTTTTGAGTAAAATACATTCTACATTCTGCTAAAGCTTGGATACCAGCAGATCAGAGCAGCAGGGATATGGGAGAGAGGTCTCCAGCATGGGAGAGAGGGATAGATTGCAGTTCTTTTCCAACATTGAAAATTCTAGTATTCTTTTACTTATGATGAAATCTAGTCAAGTAGGCCTTAACCCTATTCAGAAATACCTCACTTCCAAACCATAGCAAACTGAATTTCAGGAATGTCACTGTTCTTGAAGCCAGAATCTGATCAGTAGTTTGAGGAAGCCAGGAAACCCCAGCCTTCCCTGCATTCATTGGCCAATTCATTCGCTTATTTATTCAGGCAGTGGCTATTTTTCCATCATGCACTCTGTGTACAGTATGGTCAGGCGTAGCCTTTACTAGAACCTCCTTTACTTCCTTTAGCAGTCCTAGTCATTGATTTGTCATGGTTTCTTGTTCGTTTTTGGTTTTGGGGTTTTGGGGTGTTTTGTGTGTTTTTGTTGTTTTGTTTTTGGGGTTTTTTTGGGGGAGGCAGTTTATAGTACCAGGGATTGAATCCAGGGCCTCAGGCATGCTGTGTAGGCACTCATTCTGAGCTGCATCTCCAGACCTTTTTGTTTTTTGCCTCAGCTGGCCTCAGTCTTGCAGTCCTCATGCCTTCACCTCCTGAGTAGCTGGAATTACAGTGTACCACCACACATGGTTGTCATTGGTTTTTTAATTGTAGTAAAATACACATAACATAAAATTTACCATTTTAACCATTTTTAAGCATACACTTCAATGACATTAGGTATATTTACAGTGTTCTGTTGCGATCGATGCCTTAAGCCTCCAAAATTCTTTTTATCTTGCAAAACTGAAGCTCTGTATTCACCAGCACTAACTCCCCATTCTCCCTACCCTGTCCTCTATCATTCTACTTTCTGTCCCTGTGAAATTCACTTTTCTAGGCATCTCGTGTGAGAGAAATCATACAGCATTAGTCTATTTTTGGCTGTCTTATTTCACTTAGCATAGTGTCTTCAGGGTTCATCCATGTTGTATAGTGTATTGGGATTTCTTTCTTTTTAAAGACTGATTCCATTGTAGTCATTTTTCATAGACTTTCACACAGTCTA